TGAAACATTTGTGGAAATCATAACCGAAACTACTTTTGTACCCTGCCCTTGCAAATGTTTTCTACTCCCAAGAAAACTGTAACCACAAAGCTATTCACCACTGAAATGTTAGCAAGAATCCAAGAGCTTAGGGTAAAGGCACATTGACAGATTTACCTGAAATTTATTCTCCTTAAACTTTTATAGAAGTTGGCACTTTTGAAGTATAGTTTTTTCCTGAGAAGTGGCTTTCATAAGTGGTTTATTGTACCTCTCCCTACATTTTCTCGGTGTGATAAAAAAGTGACAGTTTTTTTTTTTCCTAGATCTGCAAACTATACACACAGAAATCCAGAAATCCACCAGATTTTTTCCTCCTTCCCTGACCAGAATTACTCAGCAAAGCTGCCATAGTGCAGTCTATGCTCTTATGGGTACCTGTGCAACTTTTGTGGTCATACGTGGGTTTGCACCAATACTAAGAGTGTCCCCGCTCTGCCCCTTGCCATTCTTACCGTGTATTCAGAGCGATAGCTGGTAAAAGAAGCAGTGGGCTATTTTTGCCTGGCTAGGCAGATGCCTTCATATTTGCACCACTCTATAGGATCTCATTTATAAGCGAGCAGTGGACAGATTTCTACACAAGTAACTGAACAAAACCCTAGAGAATACTTCTACAGTCAGCAGCTGCTGGTTATGGGTCTAAGTCGCTGCCTCCATCTCGGAGTATTCAAAAGCCTACTTTGGAAAGCAGGGCTCTGGACTGCTGAAAAAAGATCAAGAAACTGGAAGCTTGAAAGTGGTTGGAATGCTACGTCACAGCTGAACAAAGGAAATTCAATAATTAAATAAAAACTCTTGTTGCTTTTTCCCCCAAGAAAAAAATCTCCCTCAGCCATTCCTGGTGACCCTCTGGAGCTATCAGAAGCAAAGGAAAGACACTTGAGCATTTTCACCGTTGTGAAGATTCTCTAGGAAGGCTTGAAGGACCAAAATTGTATTAAGACCTCAAGTTTAGGCATGAAGACACTGTTTCTATTCCCAAATTCAGCTAACGGATGACAGAGTTTTCACTTTCTGGAAGCCCTCTCCTCAATACACCGAAGAGAACTTTTAATGGAGTCCTTACCACTACAACGAATACCAGATGTAAAAACGGTAACTACTCCAATCTAATTTAGCAGAATAACAGCAGCAAGGAATTCAACTGATCCCAACCTCAGAACTATACATCCTCAGACTCTGCTTCAGCCTAGGTATTTTATTTAATGTCCGCTGCAGATGCAAAATAACCAAACCCAAAAAAGTTCAAAGAAAAGTTATAAAAACCCACTGTACATACAAAAGCAGTGGTTTTCAACTTGTGATCACCGAGCCCCTGAAAGTCCACAGGCCACTTCCAAGGGCACCAAGAAGATTGCTTGTTTAGATGTTATTTTATCAGTCAACAGATCAATGTATTTTAAAACTTCTAGGGTTGTGATTTATGTGAATTTAATAAATTTCATTTTGTTCGATTTCAATAAAAGCAGGAAGAGACTCACAAGCATTTATAAAAATAACACTACTTACTTTGTGCATCGAGACAGATGAACGTAACCCAACCGATCAAAGCAAAAACCAGAGATCTAGAAAGCTCCATGGGCACTGCAGAAAAAATATCCTACTGAAGGCAAACACAGATGGTTGTTTCTCATATACAGTATTCGTAAAGAATCATTTAATTTGCCATATCATAAGTTAGTTGTTATCTTGACAAATGCTTCAGTGAGAACAAGGCGAAAGACTGGAATAAGCCTTTGAGAGCAATCCACAAACTATCAAACGTGCTGATCATTTTCAGCTTGAGAGATCAAAGTCCCTTTTGGGCAATAAAATAAACCAATAAGGAAATATCACTTTTTGTGTTACAGCACAAATAGCAAAGCCTATTTTTATTTTGATATTCAACACAGAGATGAGAATAAATAAATGAGCAAGATGTCCTGACCCATATGAGAGAAACCTACATATTCTCTGGGAAAGAAAACTAAATGGGGTGTCAAAAGGCAAAGGGACCAGCATCGCCCCTTTTGATCTCATAACGATGGCAGAGTGTCTTCTCATAACTCTGTTCCACAAGGAATAAGTACAGAATTTCTGTCGTGAAAACAGTAGTTAGTATTTGATGCGGTGAAAGCAGACACCTCTGAAGTGTGCCTAGTATTTTACAGATTGTATACATTGAAAATAGATTTAGCAGGCAGTTAAAACATTTTACTTCAATGAAGTTTCCTGGAAAAAGAAAAAAAAAAAAAGATACTAAAAGCTTGCAGAGAACTTTCAAAGACTACAAACGATACAGCTGATCATGCAGTTTGTTTCAATCATTTGGAGGTAAATATGCCTTTAGTTCAAAGGAGCAACTGATTACACAGTAAGGAAACTGCTGCCAGACCAAGGTCTCTTCATATTTGTGCTAGCATGTTTTGTCACCATGGATACTAAAGTAATTACTATAGATTGAATGAAAATACAAGACATAATAAAATTGAATAGAGTAACTAAAAATAACGTTATCATTGTGCTTTCCCAGCCTTAAATAATTGAAATGAAAACGTGGGAGCAATTCAAGCAGAAGCGATTAAAAAATATTAAAAGAAGTTCAATCATGTTTGAACAAAGGCCCCATCCAGCCATGATTATGCATTCAGCAGCATTATTACTAGAGCCAATCTCAGGCAGTTATTTTTCCTCCCCTGCCTGATTGTTCCCTGTATCCATGATGACCAGACCTTAGCAAGGTTATGTGGCAAAATACGGAAGACGGATCTGTGCACAAAATAACCACCTGGGACGAAGAAAAAGGAAGAGAAGTTTCCAGATCTTCTTCGCTGAACAGCATCACGTACCTTTGTGCTATCATAGCCAGGCCAGAGGCTACATAAGCCGGTATTCGTACCAAAATGTTTTTCTAGCAACCAATCCTCTTGACCACTGGAAATATTTATGTGCTGGAATCTTAATCCACTAATGAAGATCTACTTTTGGGTATTCCAAATCACAGTGAAGGCAAAGAGGCTTCAACATTTTCTGGGACCTCTGTTAGCAAGAGGCATCCCAGAGAGCTAGAGAAGCTCAGTGATGAGAAGCGGCATGAGACCTTAGAGGATAAAACTCCAGAAAGATCTCCCTCATTATCTACGGGGAGGCAACCTAGAAGCTGAAGGAAGAAGGCCATTAGTGTACACGTTTGCTTTTGCACTGGGTTTGTATGTTAGTCACCTACAGGCAGGCGTAAAATGAAAACTGCTGCTCGGATGCAGCGCAATGCTGTTAGCCACTCTTTGTAAGCTGCAACAGCTGTTTAGCTGGGAGGTCCTAGTCCAAGGCTGCCACGCAGGATTCTGCCTTCCTGCTCGGTTGTTGTTCTCGGGGATCAGCACTCCAAGCCCAAACACCATGATAGTCTCAGACATTGCCACCTATGGCCCATAATGGAATTAGGCCCCGAACAGTGTTCAGATGAAGTTCATTTGTTTTCTATGCTTAGCAAAAAAATGGAGACATCATTTAAGGTGAGAGGATTTGTAACACCAAACAAGCTATAGAACAGGCAGGAATACAACCCGGCAAGGGTGGGGTGGTGGAAACTAATTTTTTCAACTGGCATTGAACACCACTAACGAAAATACATCAGCCCAGCATCCAGCTATATCACTGGGGACAGCGTTGCTTGCTGAGCACACAGGGCACAACAACGGAAAACAGCAGGACACACACCTCTCCCACGCCAGACTGATGAGCGACAGGCATCTACTAAGGGCTGTGTGGGAGTCCTCCCCAAACTGAGGATGCTGCCCACTTTCAACAGCAGCAGCACCTATCAAATTAGTACCCAAAGTCCTCGCGATTCCCACAGTAGAAGAGCTCATGCAGTCCTGTGCAACTTTGTGTCAGTTGCTGTAGCCTTCAGACTGGCTGATGGTTCCATCAACCTCACCATCATGATGCTCAAAGGCAGGACGAGACAGTAACCTCAGGGACACAGCTATTCCATGCTGTCACTTGGCTCAAGCCTGGAAAAGCCTTTGGGGGTTTTATTTATAGAGATAGCCAAGAGGGGATTCAACAGTAAATCTATTCCTGCAGTAAGATAAATTTGAGTGCAGCCTTCTTTACTTCCTAATTATTAGGAAAAAAAGAACAAACTCAGAACACAGTGGTACAGTTCATACAGATTAGATTTCACCAAGAACAGCTGCAGGAGGAACGTCTTCAGTATTTGTCTATGTATGCTGCTCTCTTGGACATCAATAACAGCTTAAGGTTTTACATTTGCCTAGAGCGGAGAAGGAGGTGCCTAAACGGAAGCAGGGACCTTCACGTAATGCCTCAAGCAAGCATCTGATGCACAGGAGCAGTTTCCCCAACACAATACAGTATGTCCGTACACTCAACAAGAACAGGAGACAATGTTTTTAAACAAATTGATTCCCTTCTGGCAAAGAGAAAGCGTCCTCTCAGTCACATCAAATATGCCCATGCTATTCACACTTCAGTGTTTACAGACTGGGGCAACTCTATGTCCATGTTTCTCCTAACACGTCGCCTTTTTCTCTTGGAGCCATTACTGTGGCTGAATTTAAAATTCTGGCCCTTTCTCCAAGATTTCTGGACATCAAGCAAACAGGCACGGCTCCACAGTGCAGCGAGTTAGTTTAAACACACATGTGACAGTGGGACGTACACTGTAGTCTTCCCAGTATACCAACTGCACATACACAGGACATCCATATAGCAGTTTCTAGAAACAGAATCATGGCAACTAATCCTATTCATAGATCTAACAGACTGTTTAAATGGTATGATCAGCACTGTGGCAGTGGAAGGCAAAGTTAAACATGTTTTTAACATAGCTTAGTTTGACATTTCGCATACTTGGGTCATTTGTAGGGCAGCTCACTCATGAACTTTTAATCCAGCTTCAAAACTCAAGGCAGATAAAAATTCTTTTAAGTTCTCGTAGATTTGGAGTAGCTCCGCATTCAACCATATCCTGTTCTTGACAGATAGAAAGCCTGTACCATGATGCTGCAATGTAATCACAAATACACATGCATGATCGAGACCATCAAAAGACATTTACACACTTACTTAGTTCTTATAAGTATCTATAAAAAACTCACACACTTCTTAAATCAATAACATTTATTTCCATTAAACCAAGACAAATTTTCAAAATTAATACAAGATAAAAATTCAAGGTGGTTGGCAAGGGGAAAAAAGATAGACTGCATATCATATGTTATTTTTAAATGCTCAAAAATATTTTTTAATAAGACAATACTGGCACGTAGAACTGGCACTTTCCCACAGAACAAAACCAGCGGAATTTTCCCTTCTCTCCTAGTCAGTAGTTCTATGAAAACTAAACACACATACATGCAGCCTGCAACTTTCATAGCAAAGTTTACTGTGGGAATTTGGAACAATCCTCTATCAGAAGTCACAAAATTGTAGCAAAACACTTATTCTACTGCATTTTTGTACCCGGTGGATTTTATAATACTCCCTCTTTCAACCGACAACAATCAGCCTTCCAATGTTTATAGTAAGTGCTTAAAACTGCATTACTACTTGCAAACATGCCTGAGGCATTAATAAAGCCTTATTTATTTGATACAGATTAAAGCACTCTTGCAAAATTACCACTCCTGCCCGAAATCCAAGCCACTGAAATCCACAGTTTTGCCTGTTGGTTTCACTGGGCTCCGAATTTGCTATAGCACTGGACAAAACACACAATAAACAACATCCATTTTTAATTGTTTCAGTAAAAATCTTCCACCTTGAAAGCAGTATTTTCAAGTATTGCTATCCTAGTCTTCTAACGCCTATTGAAAATCCTCAAGAAACAAGACAAACAAAAAAGCCTGATTGGAGAGAAGAGTGCATTTAAACTCCCTCTCCTTACCCCACCCCACCCTCCCACCCAGGATCTTGCTGACTTAATTCCAAACTCACTATTTATTGTACAGCCGTGGCCTGGAATAAGCTTTCCCTGAGCGCTCTTTCTACCTGTTTCAAAAAGTCAGAATGTGTTTACTTGAATTCAGCCATTATTATTGCATTATTGCCATTTTCTTTGCTAACATGTGACATATTTTCTAGGCAAGTTACTTCATTTTGGTAACCCTGGATTTTACACGTAGACAAACTTGTATTCTATTGCTCCAAATACAGAACTTGAAAGTGCATCTGACTTCTAAACAGTATTATTCAGGCAGGTTTCAGAAAGTAACTAGACCCAAAAGACCTACATGCACAAATCTTCATAATGATTCATCTCCATTGAAAGACGCAGAATTTATAGCATATCTGCTCAGAAATCTAGTGCCATAGCATCATTAAGAGAGAGAACTGCTTTGCGTCCTGAAGTCTGGATATTAGAAGGGAACTAAACACCGTATTGTGCAAGAGGAGTCAGATATGGAATGGGAGTGAGTATTAATTTCACATACAAGTAAAGCAAGCGTTTCACGTGCAAGATGCAATACTGCATCATCATGGCATTTATATAATCTTTGGAGGTCTAGTCTCTGCCTGCTACCCACCTTCACACGAATGGGAGTTGTGTGATATACAGAAGGAAGCCTCAGAACTGCATTAAAATTTTGCTTAAACTAGTCTAAATCACAGATATTGTCACGCACTTTAAATGCAAATCCCCAGAGGACTGACCTAAAATGTACCATGAAATACTACACAATATAAATACTCTAGGTGACTTGTGTTAAATGCTGCTGACTGTACTCAGAATTCAGTAGTCTTGCTTTTTCCTTTTCAGTATTTCTAGCATACTAAAAGGCATATTTATTTCTTCCCCCATAAATACAGTTAATCTAATAATTTAAATTTGTAGATTTAGAAAATATTTTCTATGCAACTTAACACAATAGCCTAAAAAAGCAATTAAATTTAAGAAATAGTATATTTACAATTAAAATAAGTACAGACCTTATTGGATTTGCATTCATTTATCGCACAAAATAATTTACAAGGCTTAAAGTAATAAATAAGTCACTGGAAAGCTTTCAGAGGTGTGCGTTCTCCGTACGTCAGAGTGGAGTACAGTTTCAGGAAGCAGTAACGTATTCTGGCTAAAGTTTTCTCATGAGTCCTTATGTTGGACGGCCTTGACCAAAACGGGATTTTGACCTGGATTAAGAACACATAAGAAACAGATGAATGTTATTACTGCTAGAATTTTAAATTATTGTCCAGCCAGCTCTCTAGTACAGTATTTGTTTGAAATTACTGTCACGTTAAAGTGTCTTCTGAGAGAAGAGGAGGGGAAAAAAAAAATCTCACTCTCAAAATCTATTATTGAGAAAGTTGCATTTCTGCCAGGACACCTGTACCCACAAACTACATATTCATACAAAGGTAGGCAGCTGAAAGAACTGTGATGTCAAATATCTTCTTTTGAAATCACTAATTCTACAGAGAGAAAGTCACATGCATTTTTTTTGACAGAAATCAGACCTGTGAGAAATTCCTCCGACAACGTATCTGAAGCTTCCAGCCCAGCCCGTCCCTTAAAAGTTGGTCAGCAGCTCCACTATAAGCTTCACTATAAGCTTCAGCTCAAGAGGCTCACCTGCTGGCCAGATTATGACCCATTCTAGGCTCTACAACTGCACACGGTGTCCCAGCTTCTCAGTTCGTTTTGTTTTATCCATTTAAGGCGTAGAAGACCAATACGCAGTAATGTAGGTTTTTGGTGTGTGGAGTTTTTTGGTTTTGTTTTTGGAAGGAGGCCAAAGAATAGGCTAAAGAATCTTGGCTAACAACTTTCCAGTTATCCGTAATTTCACAAAAAATTATACTGGAGCAGCAGTCAACCTTCCAACATAGAAGCTATAAAGCAGTTCTTCCAGCATGGCTACAAGAGTTTCATTCTCTTAGCTCTAGTTTAGTTTGACAAGGGAAGCTTTCACACCATATATGGTTAACCTGCTGGAAGGGATGCTGATTCAAAAAAAGTAGGTGACACGAGGCATGCTTTTCTTTAAACACCCACGCCCCACCTGAAATCCACGTTCTGCTTTTTCCTTTTATTTTAAAATCTTACCTGGCATTCTTCTCGGCATTGTTTTGTCGTGCACTGACCTGCGCTGAGGCCTTTATCTGAGCTTCAAGTCTAGAATAAATGCCTCCTGCATACTGGAATCCAGAAAAAAAATCATGTTTTCACATTATTCCAATTTAATCAGTGTCTCTTCATAAAAATCACTAATATTCAGCAGAACCTATGGCATACTTTGTTTCATTATCACAACCCAGAACTGAAACCTTTTAAACCCATCCTATTTTCCATGCCCAGTTTTTAAAGGCAGTGAACTTTAAATATTATTTTAACCTATTTTCCCAAAAAAATCATGCTTGGAACAAAATGAAGATTGATAAAATTCAGTTCTTTAGCTTAAGTATTGAATAGATGGTATTTTCATTTGTGTTACATATTTTTGTTGCCAAGGCTCACTTCAATTCTGTAAACACTACATTGAGACAGGACAAATCTTACTTCTTTGCTGTCTTTTGACTTGACTCGATCAAGGTCTCCCAGTCTCATTTTTATCAAGTGCCCTGTAATCTCAGACATTCTTCTCTGATCTGTCAAAAATAAGAGAAAAATATTTAGGACAGAGGTTTTCCTTGCTACTCAATACAAAGAGAGAAGAATTAGACGCACACTTTAGTGATATTCTATTTGTAAAATAAGCTTTCTTCTCAGCTATTATAAAAATCTTGAACAACCAAGATCCTAGATCCTGATGCTTAATGTAGCTTCAGCGGTGTTCTTGGCAGATACCAGAATCAGCCTGAGGCATTACAGAGGTATCAAAATCTATGGGAATGGTTTTGAGGCAGAGCTTTTCAAAACGGCAAAAATGCACAAGAATCTCAGGAGAGGACAAAACATGGAACAAACGAATATAATTCTGAATATTTTTAGTCAGAAAGACTGGGAGAGAGATAGAAGTGAATGTTTATCTCTATCTGCACAGACAACAAATGGCACAGGGATGCAGGAAAAATTATTCACATACTGATACAGTCACCAGGTGACACAACTATAATCTCTGTAGGTAATGTGCTGACATTCCAAATAAAGAACATAAACCACGCTAACATACACTTATAATGCGTTTTTTCTTTTTCTCCTGCAAACTTTGAACTCCTTTCCAATATTTTCCAAGACTAGGCCCAATGCTGCCCCTTTATTTTTCAGTCTGTGTGCAAGACTACAATCTATAGTTTTATATGGTGAATTTTCTTTCCATTTTCCTACCACAAACATTTTTTCCTCCTGTAGAATAGATGAGATTGCTAATAAATGCCAGTCAAATCCTAAAGTAACATTTTCAGAAGGAGTTCCTAGCTGTATGAATATTTTTGTACAGTTTGGAAGAGTCTGAGATTGCTGCGTGGTTTGGATACAGCTGATTACTAACAATTAGCCTAGTTGAAATCTGTTCTCTTCCAAATGAGGAGCAACTATTAAGGAAAAAAAAACACACAACACAAAAACCCCATTGCTATATCTGAGATTAAATTCAACCTAAAGGTTTCTAAGTAGCTATATTTTAGGAGATTAGCCATTTCTTATATGAAAGTATAGTTTTCTTTGCGTAATATTAACTTTATGAAAGCTAAACTCATGCAAGAACGGACCGTCTTCTCTTTGAGCATCTTGGTTGAATCTTAGCGACCTGGAGGCATCCCATTTGTTCTGCTGCATACTCACACTGGTTAGAAAAGAAAGATGCACACAATGTTATCAGTAACAGATTACAAAAAGGGATGTACTACAGTATGTTCTCAAGGACTTTGAGAATCACTTACATGAACGGAGATGCATCTCGGGAACTTGACTATCAAAGAAAGAAAACCACATTAAGTATGTTTTAAGATCAAGTCCAAAACTTAAGAGAATTCCACATTATTCAACCCAACCAGAGAGGCTGGTTTCACAGCTCTGATTTTACCTTGTCAGATGGCTTCTCCTTTTTCTGAACGCTAGGTGAAGAAATCACTTTCTTTGGGTGCTTGTAGGATTTCTTTAATTTTTCCTTTCTTCCTGCTAATTAAAGAAATACCTACCAACACCATCACAGATATTTGGAATTTCTACACAGCTATGAAAGAGTTTTTTCCCTTTATTCCTTTACAAACAGAATAAATGAACAGGCTATTTTCCCTTTGTTAGTGTTGAAGGCATGCTAATACACGCAGATTACTCAAATGCTTTTCTATTACACGTGTACAGGAACTCAAGTACATATTTAAAATGCAGAGTGGTTACACGTAACTGCACAAGTTTTCTATTGTAAAATTAAAAGCAAGTGCACATACAAGCTACATCTTTGACCACATTAATTCAATCAACAAGCTCTGAGTGATATCAGACCGAACAAGTTTAAAATCAAACTACAAAAATTTTCATGCCTTTTTATTTTTTTCTTAAATGCACTGGTGCACTCCAATCCCTTTGAGTCAAGACAAAAAGAACAAAGAACTGCCTCTGTTCAAATGGCTCATTACTAGGGTGGAAAGGAGAAGTTGCTTTTTGGCTTTTCATGTTCCTAAACCCCTTATCATATTTAAAAAACAAAAAACAAAAATCCTTTTAGATCACAGAGCTTATCTTCTATGCAGACACAATTCTAGCCATGTTCACTAGTCATTGTATGTATGTAAACAGAAAAATATTCGGGGGGGCGGAGGGGGGGGGGAAGCATGCAAAAATATAGTCGGGTAGCTACTGCCTTTTCTTCCAACATTTATCTACAAGAAACTTCATAAAAAAAGTTTGATAGTCTTTCCTGCAAAATACACCCTTGGTCAACTTTGAGGACATCTCAGACACGAATAGTTGCAGCTTTCCTCATTTGCCAGTGATTTTTGATGGCACCAAACAATGGGTCAATTTGTACCTAAACACAGAAAAACTAGAAATAAAATTCAAGTAACATTATTTTTTATTTTAAAAATGCCTAATGTTTAAAATTTGCTTACATACGAATTCAGCTGCCTTGAATCCCTATCTCTAAATTCCAGGGAGGATGACTGTAGAGACTTGTACCTGGTTTCCTGCATACTTCTTCTTCATCCCCCACTTCATCCTCAGTGACCTCTGAGCCAGTGGTATACTCCTCTTCTTCAGACAACAATGACTGCTGTTTCTAATCAACAGGAGGAGAGTGCCACAGATTATAAGTGAGGCTTGATTCCTATCAAATGATACATTAAATCTGTCTTCAGGGAGTTGTCTTCAAATCTAGCTCCGTATCTTAGTGACATAACCGTGTGCACAGTTAGGTCTGAGAACATGATTCTCAAATATTGAGAAAGTAATTTCAAATCTTTGCTCAGAATGTTTTGATAAATATTTTTATTTGTTTCTTCCAAGCGGTCAAGCATTGTAAGAGATGCCCAGAGAGACTGTAGAATCTACATCTTCAGAGATTTGACTGGATATGAGCCTCAGCAAAGTGATATAGCTTTGAATCTAACTTTGAAGGTGGCCCTGCTTTGAGACTGGGAGGAAATATTTAAGATGACTACCAGAGATCCCTTCCAACCTATATTCTTGTATGCTTCAGTGTTGAGTATCCAATGTATTGCTGGCTATATTATTTTTCTAATTAATAAGAAAAGTTATGTTATCGTAGCAAGTATCTGAGCTAGCCACGTAATCACAGAATACAGGAAACTACAAGTTTACTTACGGTTCTATTGAGGCTTGCTGCATCTTGCAAACGGCCTGAAATTGCTGAGATAGTAATTAAATACCACAAAGCACGCATACTGCAGTGCACTACAAGTACACACAGACTCTGTACACCAGGGTTAACTGCATTAATAATTTATTGCAAGTTGGTCTGGAATATCTGGTTGGGTTTTTTTGTGAACTCACCCTAATACCTAGAACATTTTTTTTCCTTCCATCTCCTGTACATCATCATAAACCACCGGCTCCAATATTGCAACAGATGGGGTCATCATGACTAGGGGTCACAGTGACTAGTTCCTAACTGATCAGCACAGCATAATGAAAATATTAAGGAACGTGATGTTTAGATTGTTTTAATACATACAAATAACTTTTAAAATAAGTGATAGAGTGCCTAGTAATCCATGAGAAATGATGAAGCCCAAAACGGACTGCAAGTTCAAAAAGTTTGCAACAGGAACAGTCTTAATATAGGACACCAGAAACATCAGACTCCAACACAGATCATCAAGAGTGACAGAAGTAAATTGCCGCTCTCTAGCATTTACATTTAAAAAATAGTAAATCGTGACATTCTATGCTGCTGGAAAAACAACTCCCCATCCTCTGCGTTTGACTAGGTCCTCCACCCTGATAAATGCTTTTTGCCATGAAGCAGCAGCATAAAGAAGACATGAAGCATCTCGGGCAAGCCATCAAAGAGAGACACACTCAAAAACGATGATTTTGATGATTTACATTTTTGTCAGCCTAATGAACTATTAAGAACTGATGTGTGCATTGCTGGTCTATTGTTTGTTGTCCTTTATAAAGACATTTAAAAGGAATTTTTAACGTTTCTTCAAGCCAAAGTAGTACTTCACGCATGCTTCATGCTTTCTTGTAAAAATTGTTGCTATATTGCAACCTCCAAACTAAAGCAAAAGTAAGAAAATACATTTTCCTCAACATTAACTAGAAAATGAGACAAAAATCAAAGCTCGATATCTGCCAGTGCAGAAGAGCAAGCATTTAAAATTATGAACAAAATATTTTACTAACCAGCTGTAAAGTCCAGTTCTTCAGAGAAAGAAACTGTAGTCACAAAAAGAGAAAGGCATGTAAGTTAAAGAACTAATAATAATCAGAAATAAAAAAAAAAAGAGAGTGGAATTCTAAAAATAGGAGTGGTATGTTATAGTACAGCAATCTACACTGATAACTCCTACAAGGCCTACTCTCATCTTTAACTAGAAATTTTGGTGGAATGACTAAGTGTGCAAACAGGTTGTGAACTATTAATTGATTAAATGCCATGAATTCATAATCATGTTTTAATTTGACTAACCTTAGCACTACAAATATTTACAGCTGATTTTAATCAAAAAAGCAGTCCAGGACCAGGGGGGTGGGGGGAGCGGGCAGTTATGTACCAGATTGTTATGGATTTTAAATTTAATAGCCTCCCACATGTGTTGCGGGAGAGCTTCTGACACTCTGTTTGAAATTCTCAAGGAATCAGCAGCATCACGCTACCATCAGGATCCTTGAGTTACCAGAAGTTCCACAATGGGTGCAGAACTTCAAAAAACTTATCTTTGCATGAACGCTCTCTAAACCAGAGGTAATGTTATAAACAGCCTCCTTAAACTTGGCTTAGAAAGTATCTCGGTTGACCTGACATACACATAGTGACATACATGCACCATAGCTCGGGAAAGTAAAATCTTCCACATGCTCGGGGGGGGTGGGGGGGTGGGGAATTAAAAAACCAAACAAAAGCAAACACACACACACTCAAAAAAAACCAAAACCACAACCCAAGTTACTGTTCTTCATTTATGGGCTTGTAAAAGTCATGGGGACATACCCAGCTACATCAGCAGACAAAATGAAGGCAGCAATTATTTAAATAATTGCCACGTGACATATTTTAAACTATGACTGGATCCTTAAATATCATCGGTTTAAGAATGGCGAGGAAAGCACAGACATATGGGAATTGCCTCTGATATACAGAAATATATCCGGCAGACATGGTAAAAGTTCTGCCTTTTCACCAACCAGGTGTTTTGTACCTACGCTAGCCTATGCTATCCTGCAATGCTCAGCAGTGCACTTCTTCCTCCAACACCACACGGGCTTTGTTTTTAATAAAAGTTGTCTAATGAATTCTTCAAAGTACCCTTGTAAGAATCTTCATTATCAGAAAGAAGAGGGGAAAAAACATTAGCAGTCACTCACAGCATTGATTTCTCCAGTTTTGGGACCCCATGGCGTATTTGGTTCTACAAGCACATCACATTCAATGCCTTTTTCATCACAGAGCCCAATACCAGAGTCACTTAAAGAGAAAGATGTGAAACAAAAATGAATTTTTCTATTTTGTAACTTTAGAATCAGTCTCTCTTTACTCATCATGTACCAAGCGAAGACAGACCTCCAAGTCAGCTACATAATATTTTGATAACAATCCATTAAAATATAAAGATAGGCATGAATGCTGATGGGGGTCGAATGACTAAATGTCTGCTTGAAATTTAAAAGGAAAAAGTACTTGTTCTTCTCTTCCCAGTTTCCAACTAAACAATAAAAAATAAGTAACCTTTAAAAAGGCCTATGTCACCCATTTTAAAATGGGAGAGAAGTCAAACATCACATGCGCACGTGTTAAGTGTTGAAGGCTAAGTTATTTCAGTAACACACTACAATGTCCTTACCTATTCTCATCCTTAGTGAAAGGAACAACAATAACATCTCTATGATGAAGCAGATCATTCAATATTTTAGTAGTCTGAGATGGCAAAGCGTCCCCATCTTCATTTCCTGAAGGTGAGTCGACCATGTGATCCCTCACTTCACAGCCCTGCGATACATATGCACAAAAGATCAAATACTTGAATTAGTGGGAAGAACCAATTTCAGTAAGTACAATAACAAAAGTTCAACTTTTGAACTTTTGTGTCCCAAGGTCCTAGCGTGCCTTGGGACACTGCAACAATTTACAATCCTTATTTTGGAAAGGATCTAGTTTCGTAACACACTGTCACACGCCCCCCCACACCACGTGTTATGCTCTTCTAAAAGTGAGCTGGTATTGAAGTACCTTTGGGAGGGTTGTAGGATCAAATCGAAGTACTTTTTGGTTACAACAGGGATATACTCCTGTCCCAGTCGAGCCCAGAGCACTTGCTACACCTGGATAAAGAACTGGCTGCGAATGGTACTGGCAATGGGAGAATTCAGTACACAGGAAAGACTACATTAGAATAAAAAGAGAGATAATATGAGGTGAGATTCCTTACGGACGTCAAAATTTTGCACTATGAAGAATGTATAACAAGCTTTATTTCCATCTATTTTCCAAACTGCTTTAATCCTTGCCTCACCCCCCAAAACTCCCCCATAACAAGCCATCTACCGACAAACAACTGAAAGTCACAATATACTAACTTGGTTACATCTTGAGCAGGCCAACCAATTGACAGTCCCCCAAAGGCGCCAATAAACATCCCGCCAAGATTTCAGTTCCTCATGAAGGCCAATTAAGTACTCATGGACTTCCCAGGTTTTGTCTCTGAAAAAGCAAAAGGTCAGGCTGCATAGAGAGTCAGAACTCTGGTTTGAGCCTGCCACCAGAAAGGTGAGGTATTGAAGGAGCAGAACAACATATGCTCCGCTGGTGAAAAGTCTACAGCAGAGTTTAGAACGGGAAGGATACAACATTGGACAATCATTACTAAATTCAGACCATGACAGAAGAGCCTGTGTTCTTTCACAACATCCTAAACTTACTAATAACAAAGAATTACAGCTTGATTCATCTCAAGCTCCATATACTGCAAATTTATAAGCTAAGATAAATATGAAGCCTTTTAGAAATCAGGAGAATCATAAGACAGAGGAAAACCCAATACCCAGACTAGAAGAAATCAAAATATGCACAGGCAAACAAGTTGAGTCATATTGCAGTTTTCTGTCTTTAAAGTAATATGTTGTGCAACAGAAGCAAAGCACTGCCGTTCTATTTTATTTTAAAAGCCAATATAACTTGTTTCTATGCATCTGCAAGGCAACAGCAATTACTCTGTTAAGAATTAAAGTTTGAAAATATAAGACCATGGCTTTTTGATGAATCTGAGACTTCTGGTCTTAAAAATACTGACTTTGCTCCTTCCTAGTGATAAAATGACACACGCCTCTTCAGAATTTAAAAGAGAATACGCAACCTGCACTGGTGCATGCTATCTTCAGAAAGAGAAGATTACTGTCTTCCCAGAATTTTAAGCCCTGGCCCGAACCATTTTTTATTCCATATACACATCTAACCTAGACTAAGCGAGCAGTACTTCCAATAGGAAGTTAGTCCTAGGCACCACTAGGGGACCAATAAATATAAACCTATTTTTAAGTCATGAAAGACAGGCTTGTAATAGCTCATAAGCCTGGATTCATTAGTGGCCAGCGTCACTTCACCTAAAGAACGGTAAATGGATTCTGTGTAGAAAAGCAGTCGCAAGCACCACAAGGCAAATAATTAGAACCTAAGTAATCCTCTGAGCAACTGTAAAACCCTGTACATCTATATTCTAGGAATTGCAGAGCGGCGACATACAGTTAGCTTAAGTGAAGTAATACCATTAATGAATTTTACGTGGCTAATCACCAATTATCCTAATAGGTCAGGACAGGGTCGCAAGATTCGGTTCTAGTTAGACTGTTAGGCAGAACTTGATCCACACCTTCGAATTACCGATGGGAGGTAACACTAAATATGTGTTACCTTGGGAGCTGACACTGAACTGTGTTTTGGTTGCTCTTAATGAAATAGATCTGACGAGAAAGGTCTCCTGTCACTAACTTTCCACTATCTTCCTTAAAGGGGGCATGCGGGGAGGGAGGGAACCGCAGCTGATCGTGCGCTGATCTTCATTAAGAAGAGAGTCCAGCTATTCACAAACATGGATCAAACAGACAGAGCTGAATTAAACATTTGTGCCAAATGAATAAGGCATACATACAGAATAGTCCTGGGAGCTCCTCTGACAAATACTTTAGAACACAAAAACAACTGGCAAAGTTTATTTATAGTAGTCTTTAAGCAGGCCGAGTATGTGATTTGACAGTATGAAGTCAGTCTAGAAAATAACCTTTAGCATTTCTTTGCTGGCAGACGTGGATTTATCATTCCATAGCAAACCTTGTAGAAATGCAGCCTTTAATATAATTTGTCATCGACTAAACATATCTTAAAACCCTTTGATGAAAGAATTAGCTCAGCGTTTTTTATTTAAGGCAGTCCAACCCGAAATAGCCCTCCCAGTAATCGTGGCTGTAGCTCTTCCATTTCCACTCAGCAGCGGCACTGCTGAATGAATGTCAGAAGTACTGTAATCATCATAATTGCCCCCCCCTTTTTTGTTTTTTTGCTAGGTAATATAAGAAGTTGAGATGTTTCATACTGCTCTTCACATATCTATGACTTCATTTTGGTAATTCCTAAACATGTAGTATTTTTTAAAATCACCCCAAATCATATAGTTGAAGAAATTTTTTTTTTATATATATATTCACTACCTTATATGAACATAGACAATATTCCCATGTTGATCTATGTTGATTTTTCCTGGTACACATGGAATTCTTCTTTCAGTTTCTTTAGTTAGCAGCTTTTTACATAAACAACACCTAGATTTAAAAAAAAAAAAAAAAAGAAGAAGAAAAAAGTACTGGAGTAAGAGCAGGACTTCAAAACACAGGGACTGTCCTTGCAACTGAAGTAGTAATAAAAAAAAAAAGACCATACCTGTATAATGTTGCTGCATTTCCTCGAGAATCTGGATTTAGGTACTCTGGATCAAACAGTCTCTCAATCTTCTTGCAGAAAAGTTTACTATTAATGACAGCAACACAGCCTACCCATTAGAAAAAAACTGAAAATTGTTTTATGTATAGTGAGACTAACAATGATATTCTGATGATATGCAAAGTCACCACACTTCTTTCAGAATCTAGCTTTTAATTTTGTGATGTTCCTTTAAAATAATCTGTTTGGATAACTGGTTCCTGACCTGGTCATCTCTTATTTTTACACAGATGTGAGGAAAGAAAGAAAAAAGTTTCTTCCTCTATTACATTCTTTGTTTGCCAATGTAAACTGCCAGCTTCTACCTTGACTAAAAGACCTTTTATTAATGAATACTTCCGTGAAATTACACCTAACTTTAATTCTAAAAGTTATAATGTCTTCATCTCTACCGGTTAAAATACTTTCTTACTTTCACCTTGCTTGTCCGTCAGTATGCCCTCCAATAATTGGCCCTTATCTTGATACTCACTAAGCCGGAGTCCTTATGTATGAAGTAGTATTCCACCACAACTATTCAGCCTTCCAGCCATCCCAAATTCTATGTCCAAACATCAGAGTTCACAGGATGCTGAAGCCAAACCATTCTCTACGAATTAGGAGCATGTCACCGCATAAAAGGTTCCTTACCCTAATCCTGGCTCCCGTGGGAGAATTCATGAATAATTTGTCCATATCACACGCCCTAGTGCGGCCTTTCCTTTTGCTCGTTTCCTATAAAAAGCTCTTTCCTTTTGCTCATAATTTTAATATAAAATTCTGAAGTCACTTCATGGTATTCTGTGTTAAAGATACATTATATGAGAATATAAACTGTATATGTGTCACTTCAAACCTCACAGTGTCTTAGCTGTTCTGACAAATGATCCAAAAGCCCGACAGCACTTCAGTAGTGTATTACAGGGCAAAAAGTTACCTCTTAAATTTGTCCCTTTTGTCCTTCAACTCTTCCACTTCATTGTGTGTGAAGAGATCAGCAATGTGCGTGACAAGATTAGCATTGATACAATTCATGTTACATGGCGTGGCTACAATAGCATTCATATTTTTGTGACAATAATGAATGCATTTTTCTACCTAGGAAAAACAGAAACATTAAAAATAACGTTAAGGAATTCTAGACAAAGCTATCTCAAAAGATGTTACTCATTGCTTCAAGATTTTTATTTTTTAAAGTGTGGTGTTTTGGAAAACTATTTCAGTTCAACTTAAAAATAAAAAACCAGTCTCAGGTTTGTCTAAAGGAGACTCTGAATTAACGTGACTCTGAGTCAGTTCGTGTTCTCCTCCAAAAGGTTTCTACAGACCAGAAAACAACTCCACAAATGTTTCATCTTTAACAAGTGGTACCTTCCAGTCGCTTGTAAAAAGAGAACCACAGTACACATTATACATAGTATTGCCTGGATCTCAACTTAAACGGCTATGTCTACTGTGTACTTAGTTGTGGGTCACCCCAATGACAGAACTTCTGACAAACAACTCAGCAGATATTACTTATACAGAGCTGGAGAACCAGATCCTAAATTGCAGAAGTGTCATTCGTGTAAAAAGGATATAAAACAAAGGTATTCATTGATTTAATAATCTTTTTTTAATAAAACCTGTCAGAAGTCAGATACTGATGTTACTCCAGATCAGTCATCAGAAGGCAAATCCAAGATCCCACTATCACATTTAGAAATAACTTACTCTGTTAATTTTCTTGCATTGAGATTCTACAAATACTAGATTACTGCATTGAATAAGAAAGGTGGTAATAATCTCAAAATGTTCCCATTGCATCATCTGTTTATGTAACAGCCAAAGCATAACAAACAAGCTGTTAGACACCTGGTAAGTAACTGTGCCCTTACGGCAGAGAATCTTTCTTTCTTAATACTTACTAATGAATCCATCTTCAAAAACTCAGAAGAAATAAGAATTGATATGACATTTGATGGTTCTAAAAGGCAACAAAAAAAGGTTGGTTTTTTTTACAAGAATTCTTTTGATAATTTCATATCACATCCCTCCCTCTGCGTATTTAGTACCTGTTTTAAGTATTATTTTACCAATCAACCTGTCATTCCATCTTCCAATACGTAGAGCATTTTCCATCTTAAGAAACAGAGTTTTGGTTTATCATTTAGGTGGCCAGAGTACCACTATAACAAACTGGAATTTATAAAAACTGGAAAAGGTGGCTTCATAGGGATACAATGACTAAACAATTACACAAAAAGATTAACTTCCATCTGTAGCCATCATACCCAGCTGAGATTTTGCTTAACATAACCTTTGCATTGCAAGTTGTAACTCTACTCTCTTGGTTTGTTTAGATTAAAAAAAAAATGGTAGCAAAGGCTCATAAAAAGATTAAAAACTTGCCTCAAATTCATAAAGGCAAAGGTTCTTCTACCATTGTATCAGATTGCATTGAAGTTTTAGAAAATATTGCAATTGTACCAATAGGGAGCAAAGCGGAAACAAAACAAAACCTAACAGTCATCAGTATTTTAAAACTACCACTTTGTTCTTGCTCAGAAGAGGTCTGAAGAATCTTAATTGAAAACACCAGCTCCCAAAATATATTAGACCTTTTTCACTGCTTCAACTATCAGGATGTTTCCTCCAAACTGTCAGTGTTGACAAATCAGAGACATCTGCTATAATGACCAGAGGATCTCTGCTGCAACACTTTTCAAACAAATGACAAGCTTCAGCGCAACAGTCAGAAACAAAGAGACCGGGGCTGAACTGTGTCAAAAACATTACTCTTCCATTAGTACAGAACATAATGAACCTACAACAAACGATCTACATGCTTTCTTTTACCTAAAGTGGGCATTTCATTAGCTTCCGAATCTTTAGTGTTCCTTTTAACGTATCTTATCAACCAGTCAAAGATGTGAACGTCACAGTGCACTGAAATGTCCACCTCTTCCCAGCGCTGGGCATCCACTGACAGATATTCAGCAAAGTATTTCATTTCTGAAATCAAAAGGTCTCGAGGACAAACAAAATCTTCTTTGAGGTTTTTAGCTTCATCGCACACATGGATCACCATATTTGGCCTCAAAAAGAAAACAAGCCATGAACCAAATTAGGACCGTAAGCCAATTAGAACACCAAAACCGATCAACAAAGATCTCATCTCCAAATCTGGATCACACATTGCAACACTGATGTCACTAACAGGTTTTTGTTAACAGAAGGAAAACAAGCTGCAGTTATTAACTATTAATACCAACTATTAATAGAAGCTATTGTCAGATAGCATTGTCAGGTGAAGAACACAGATGCGTATCCTCTGACACATCACCAGTGCGATTTCATTGTTAAGTTCAGGGACCGGAGAAAGAAAATTTCTAGCTCCAGTCCCCAGTTTTGTCACCAGTTTGTTATGGGATACTACCTGAATTACATAGAGAACTTACTTGTTCTCCCTTTTTAATTTTCTTGAAAAAACAGGCAGATATATATGCCTAAGTTACTGAGGCACCAAGGAGAAAAACAGCATACAATAGCAATTTTCGTCTGTGGAAATTAAGATCGGTTTATTGTATATTAAAATGTCTATTTCTTACGAAAAGGTCAGAGCTAGAATCAGTAAATGCTGTCTCTACAGAAAGATGGTTACCCTTAGGTTTCAAACAAACACATTATTCTACATGTACTTGTATAGTACGGAAAACAGGGATGTGATAGTACGAAAAACAGTGACATGCACGGCTATTTGAATTCATAGTAAAATTTTTCATTTGCACCTTTCATTTACAGCTTTCTTTTCCTGCTGTTACATAGGACAAATCTATGTTCACAGAACATTACTTTTTTTTTAATTAAAATGTTATTGAGCATCAATCTTGTTTCGTTCCTTTGTAAAATCAGGTTATGTCTCCCACTCTCGCCACAGCAGTGATAAATCACTCAGAGGAACACTATGGACAGATTTATAAATGCGCTATCCCTATTGCACATAATAAATTCTCAAACCAACCCCTGGTATTTCTGTAGCAACGTAAGGTTTCAGAATTTCTTACAGCATTTATTAGGATGTTCCCAGCTGTCTTCTTTCTGATAGTAGAAAAGTATGAGCAATTTAGACATCTTTCTGTCGGTTCTATAATCCCCTAGATAATAAACACACGAAGATCCCCTTACCCCTGGCTTTCGTCAGTGCTGTCTCCACCTTTATGCACAGGACCTTTCTCAGATTCTGAAGAACAATTCCTTGTGGAGGTTGTGCTGGCCCTTCCTTAAATGTAAGGAAAAAAGGCTGCATTAGAACAAAAATGCCTGACCTTTTGCTCTTCAGCATCTTGGAAACGCAACTGAAGTAACAGCTCTCATGGTGGAGCAACGTTACACAACTAGCGACAAATCTGCTATCATAAGGGCTACTAGATAATCCAAATTCCTGCTCTAAATGCCATGCACTGGAAAGTCAGACCAGCAGCATTGCTGGGTTGCCCAGACACTTGGCTGCAAAACCAGATCGGTCCTGTCTCAATACAGAGCAGTAAGATTCACGCAGGAGCCTGCAGCATTTCCTTCTGGGAATGCAATCCATTCCCTTAGCTCTCCTTGTCTGCTTTGTGGGATGTGGGTCTTAAGACTGTCACATCAAAATTTCTGTTTTCAGGAAGCTTTGCTGCCAGGATATAAAAACTTGAGACTAACTCCACTTCTTATCCATAATCTGTTATCTTTGTTGATAAGTTGCTTCCAAACATAAGCGCAGAAGCCTCTTAAGATATGTTTTTGCTAAGTTTCCCAAAGACGTGGCTTAAAGCAGCAGATTATATAAAATGATGCTCAAAGAAAGCAGAGCATGAATTTGTCTGGTCCTAAAGCTACATCACGTAGCTTATCCCAGGAATAAAGGACAGCTGCCCTTTAGTTCAAATAGGTTATCTTCACAAATGCACTACAAGCAGTGGAACCTGGACGCAAAATCCAGTGAACTCCAGGAGGTCTAGTCACCAAATCCAACGAGTTCTGGGTGAAGGGTTAAGACAACCCCAGCATTCAGACATTGACTAACTTTTCTGACTGTGATGAATGGATTGCTGCAATCTGAAACTTCAATAATCTTGCTTGTAAGTCAGAATGATCATTATCTTTTTTAAATAATGGACGGGCACATATCTGTCTTCCCTTGATGAAAACCTATAAGGTCATGATTTTCCATGGTTACTCCCTACTCTCAGATTTCTAGGAAAAGAGTTCCAGAAGCCTCTTCTCCCTCTCGTGTAATGTAAGAGGCTGTAACCTTCTGAAGACGACCAAGACAGACCTCTTCACCTTATGGCTAAATAACTATAGGAGACCGACACCAAAAATGATCTGGAAGCTCCATACAGTTCAGAACACAGTAGTTATGCCCTTCAGGAAAGCAAAGTTATCACACCAGAGGCAGAAGAAACAAAACTTTCTCCAAAGATACAGCCTAAGGCCTTGCACCGTTAAGCCTTAGTAAGGCCATACAGAGGGAACACAGTTAATAAAAGGGGAAGATTTACTAGACAGACCCTAGTAAAACCTTGGCAGGGGCTGCATCAGCCACAGCCTTCAGGGCAGCCGTTCCGCTGCAGGCAGATGACCCGTGCTAGCATTAAAACAGCCAAGGTGGGAGTCCGAGATTTGGAATGCAAGGTAAGGCGAGTATTTTAAAGGAAGGGCCTGTGGAAAAAAATTACATGGAAGAATTCCATCTGCAAATATTAAGAAGTTTATTTTGAACACAGTGAAGTTATTTATTAAAGAAAAGGAAATAATGCTGACAAGAATATGCAGCACAGCCAAATTAACGGGGATGTCTGAACTGTGGTGGATGCCCCATCCCTGGAAACGTTCAAGGTCAGGCTGGACGGAGCTCTGAGCAACCTGATCTAGTTGAAGATGTCCCTGCCCATGGCAGGGGGGTTGGACTAGATGACTTTTAGAGGTCCCTTCCAACCCAAACCATTCTATGATTCTAACTTCATCATACATTTCTTCCTGTCTTTTTTTTTCCTCTTCCCCCCAAAGCTTACAGATTGTTTGACTTCTGAATGTTAGTAATAAATACTTTGGGTAAAAGGCTATCCTATATGCTTGTTTACTGCCATAATATGCATTCAGAGGGACTTAGCAGCAGTTTGCCTTATAATTAGCAAGCAATAAATGAGCTTTTATAACTCAGCCAAAACCAGAATCCAGCTCAAAATTAATTTGGTCTGATTGCTTTTTCTTGCTGTTACTCATGTCTACAAACAAATCCAAACAGGCCCAAAATTCTTGATCCTAACAATAAAGCAGATGTGAATAAATCCACTAGAAAGTAATTAACTAAACAAAAAACATTTACAAATTGGCTTTTCTCAAATCCCCAATTCTGAAACATACAAGTACCTCACAAATATTAAGAAGATGAGCTCACTACAAGACTGTGAGAAGGTTGATTATCCTAATTTCATATCAACAAATTACAAATAAACAGGGAAAACGATTTATCCAAAGTGGCAAAGAAAACGGAGAAAAATCTCAGGCTAGGATCTTGTAGTAGGAAACATCAGGGTACTTAACTGCATTAATACTTATTATATGTATTACATTGTTAAAAAGAAAACACGCACTAATTGTCTAAAGAGTTCTATAAGCAGAGTTAGCTTGTTAACTGCCTACTGGGAAGCTACTAATCTTATAAGTAGCCACCTGTGGGTTCAAGAAGCATTTATTCCACATCATGCACGTAACAAGTACATAATTGAAAGCTGACTAGAAGCATTTTCAGTCTAGATACTCCATACACAGTTTTCAAATATCATCTCTTGATTAGAGTTATTAAAAACATTTTGTTTGGTCTCCAGCAAAGGTCAGACAGCTGTTTTTCTGCTGCAAAGAGTACAGTGACCAGAAAGCTGCAGCACTGTGAAGGACATCATAACAGAGAACATTTTGTTTAAGCACTTCACTGTCTTCTTAATTTTTAACACAGAAATTGTTTACTCATCACTGGAGCAAATTTCTCATGCAACACATTTATCAAGTCCTACAAGGCGCTGAAAACATCTCAGTCTACAATGAAAACCAGAGGATAACTATCACACAGTTAATTACAACTTCTCACACACAGTTAATTACAACTTCTCACAGGAGAAGTACTTAAGGAGATGTTAACAATATTTAATTGTGCCGTGATTGAAATACAACTATTCGGACCGGTCCTCTTCTGCCAAATTATTACTGGGACACATAATTGACTAAGACACGTTATATGTCATTGCAAGACTGTCTTGCATCAAAAAGTAGCTAGACTACACTCCAAATGCTATGTAGCCATCCTGCCACCAAGCAGCATGACAAACACAGGGCTTTTTGCTGGGCGAGGAGGGTCTGATCTCAAGGGATCACCTTCTCAGCTTTCTGCAGCTTTTCTACACAAAACTTCCTAGTTATTTTAATAACACAGCTCAACGTGATTGCAAATGGCTGTAGGTTTAACGGTACAGCACTGGGGATACAGAACAGGAGAGTAATTCCTCTCCCCACCAAAAATCCTAAAGAGAGGATTTAGCGTAAGGATTTATGCCTTTTGGAAGGACGAGCTATTAAAAATACCCAAACAAACATCGATTCTTAACCTAAACTAACTGAAAATGACTTCATGTACGCATTATATTTATACTTAACTTTCTTTTTCAAAGATGAACAAGTACTATTCCTGGGTGGACTTACCACTCGGGACAGAGAAGCATGCACATACTGATTATAATCAAAGCCAATATATTTCAGAATGACTAAAAACATACCAGTTATAGTAATGGAATCCTGCCCAATAGCAGGCTCCTGAAACTCTGTCTGTGTATCGAGCAAGGAGGATTTGATGTACGTAGCTAAAGTTTCCACAGGACTCCCGCCAGCGGCCATCAGGGGATTATACTGGTTGTCAACAGGTGAACTTCCACTGCTTTTTAGTTCATCAAACCTTTTTGCACACTGTCACAAGATTAAATGATAGGACAATGAAGCAGTACCTTTCAGTACATTTTTAATAACTATAATTTGAGACGGATATTGTATTTCATTATATCTGTTGCACGTGAACAGTTACCGATATTAAACTTACAATGCTTCCTGTTTAGTTAGTGGTATTGGGAAAGTACATACATATACAGTAAAATAAGTAAGATTTACCATAATTAAACACTCTAACAGAAAGAGAATAAAATAAGATGGAACCTGTTTCAACCTTTATTTCCTTAAACCCTGTGATTTTAAGCCTGATCGTCAAAAGGGAAACTTATGGGGAGAGTTAAATTCTCTTTTTGTAACTAGTTCTTCTACCATAAACATTGTCAAATATTATTAAAAGTAGCTCTAGTAATTGGTTCATAGTTATTATTCTTTTACTTTATGACTTCCATTCTGATTTGGACAAAAGAGACTGGTGATTTCCACCGCAGTTCTATTAACTTCCCATTCCCTGTTTAGATGAACCAGAAAGTCTTTCCATTTTGTAAATTTGTACCGATACAATGACAATTACAGGTTTGATTCAGCAGAGTCCTACACACAGCTAATTTACACACACAAGGAAGTCGTCTTAATTCTACAGGTGACCCTCCTGTAACACAGCTCCTCAGGCTCCGTTCAAGCAGCTGGTTTTATTTGTTTGCTTTGGATTGAGCTAACTGACATTGCTGCATGCCACCTGCCCCTTTGGGAGAGGTGCACACAGTGACATCCTTCTGATATTAACGTAGTGCCTCAAATTCGTAAGGATGCCAGTCTACTGTATGCAACAGCTACATAAAAGCATAGGTATACATTTCCTTTATTGGCTTAAACAGGGGCTCCACATATTTGAGACACTTTGTTCTTTTAAAACAGAGTAACCAGACATGTACTAATCAATCGTTATCTTAATTAATGAGGAGAGAGCTCACTGATACTTTTATAATTATTTTATTTGCTTAATCTGCACCGTGCTGTCTGCAAATCGAAAGGTAAACAGTAGAGACACCCCCCCACCCCACCCCCCGCGCTTTGCCAAGCACTTGAAAGGCAGTAACATTCCACAGAAGCTTCTACTCATTCACTTTTACATTCTAAATACAAGGTTACAGTGATGCCCAATAGCAATGCTATAAATGTGAGCTGTCACATTTGATTAAGTTTGCAAGAAAATAAAGACAGTTGGCTTGTTTTTTTTCCCAGCTTTGCAGAATCACAAGGGCAAAGACATTTTCCTCTTTTAGCTCACTTCCCCTCAGAACTGAAAAATTCGAAATTGTTATTTTTAAAAAAGCAAGCATTTCACCAGGAAATTCAGCAATCCAGAAAGATTGCGTATATGGAGGTACTAGGTTCATCCAACTCTATCCCAACCAAAGAACGAAAAATCCACATCTTGTAGGACCAAGCAAGAGGCAACTGCACTCTTAACTACCCAATAGAGATCTGTTAACTCATACTTCCTTAGGATTGTAATGACAAGCATAGAAAGCTATCAGGTTTGCTAGTAAGTATATGACAATCTACGTGAAGTTAATGGGTACTGCCATCCTTTCCGTGAAAATCTTAGCTATGTAATTTGAAATACCTTAGCACTACTTTTTTTTTATTCCACTTCTTAATTTTTACTTTCCAGTAATTTTTGTTCTTATTCTGTATCAGTTCTACTGAAATAAAACGCAGAATGTATTTCTTAATTTCAATGTTCAGGTTTTGTAGAAACAAAACCCTTTTTTTTCCATCTACTGCTCATTTAACATTTTTGATTCTTTAGGTATAAATTACTTCAGGGAAAAAAATAATCCCTTAACTTCAATTTCCCTCCCTCCCCCCAAAGATGTTTTCTTCTTCATAAAATACTGCTTAAAGTATACAAATTCTTTTATTAGTAACTTCACCTCTTTGGATGTATATCCTGGAACTAGCCTTGCCACGCTGTCCCAGTTGATAGGCTGAGGAACACCAATTAGGGAACACAGGATCATATCCAAAACCATTTGATTGTTGTCATACGGAAAGTTATTGTTTTCTGAAAATCCACGACTCATCTTTGGCTACTTAAGCCTAGAAGAGAAAACGTTATTAGCAAGCCTCACTGCATGGTTTACTAAAGCTTGATCCACGTTAACTGCAGCGCTCCTGAAGTTGCTATGGGAAATGTTTACCACAGCACTGCAGTCAAGTACTAGGGCTTTATTTGACAACATTTACGTATTCATAGCTGCACCCTCAAAACCCTGGGGGAAGCAGATGTGCAAAAGACACCAAAACCAACTCAACAGCAGCAGGCACTACCTGCCGCTCCTTTGAGTTGTCTGATTCCAGGAGGGATTCACACCACTCATCTCTCCAATGCAAAAACAAGGCCTCCCACAACCTCCGAATAAACAGCCTCAGCAACAGAGGGACATTTTAATTTAAATTTACTTACATTCAAATACTCTTGTCTGTTCCCCCAAACTTTGCTGCTGCTCAACTTCGGTCTCCTCTTGCTCTGCCTATTTGTTTTGCACACCTGACTTCCATCACATAGGAGCCAACCCAGGGCACCCAGCTAAGGGCCATCAATAATACTTTGGAGCCAGGAAACAGGACACCTGGATGTCGTTCAGCTCTCATCCTGAAGACCTGACTTTTGAGTCATCCTAAGGCATTCATAACTCCTGACTAGCTGGGATTATCAGGGCCAAGAAACCTTGTTCCTTCAGCTTCAAATTGAACACCAGAACAAAGCACACAAGGACAGTAGTGAACACTTTGGGGGGGGGGGGAGCATTTCCTCTAATGGGAAAAAAGTGTTATGTTTAGTTTTGTTTTTTTCTTTTTCCAAATGAATTTTATGTATAGCACCAGGGAACACAGTAAAAGTTCAAAGTACTAGCTTAGCATATGCTGGGAGAAAACTGCAGGCATTAATCAAGACTTTCATATTCAAGTAACGCACAGCCAAAGAGCTTAGCAAGGACCCATATTTGGAAAGCACTTTGGACCTTTTCCGAAGTACCTTAATCAGATCACATAAATAACAGGACTTAAAATCACATACAGAATTTTGACTTGTAGAGCAAGGATTATAGAGAATTTCAGAGAAAATACACTTAGATGGTAGCAGATTTAACTGATCACTTGTTACTAAAAGTATACTACACGTAGATGTTTCTTTTGCATCACCCTCTTTCTAAAAGAAAAGATGCTTAAAACATACAAAATAGCACTGATTTTGTTTCTGACTCTAGAAGCTATTCCAGCACTTTTTTTTTGTTTGTTTTGTTGGTAGAAACAGAAATCGCAACAGCAGGTAACTGTAAGCTTTCATCCTCTGAAAAGAGCAGCTGAATGAAACCATCAGAAAGAAAAAACCCAGAACCCACCAAGATAATTCTTAGATTTCATATATTCACGAGATTAAAAAAAAAAAGCCACAAAGAAAACACAGGAGTCCAGTAGAAAAAGTCATACCATTTTAGCAATTCTATCTAAATGAAGTCTATTGCAAAGCGTGCCAGATAGCCAGTTATAACAGAGAAAGGTCCTTCACAGACGATATGAGCCCAAACTTTCCAACCAAGAGATGCCACTATGAGGTAAAGATAGATCAGTCCCTGCGGTCATTGAGCCTTTAGCCCTCATCCTGATAGTACTATCAAGTGGTGTCACCGTGGTAATTCTATGGTGGAGACTTCTCACAGTCAGTGCAGAGACAGATGTCAGGATCCATTATATTTAAGCCACTGAGTATCCACCGTATCTGCTGTTATGAAAAGAAATAACCGTGCCAGAACAGGTCAGCACCAGTGGCAAACCCAAGTGGTTATAAAATGGGAAGCCGACTTCTTGTGGTAGCTTGTACGCGTGCAGCAGCTGGTTTAAAACCATGTTTGAAAAAGGTAAGTAAATGATGGAGTATCAGAGTCCTCTGGTCTGGAGCCATAAAATACACTTAATGAAAGTAAAATTACTAGCAGTATCAATATTGCATACATCACCATTTTAAGGACTAGTTCTATGATATGATTATACTGGGTAATCAAAGAAAGACAGAAGGAAAGGCGGCTATTTTGCAAGAGTTAGAGCCTATAATTTAAAGGAAAAAATACAGTGTGTTTTGACTGCTTTGCTGGTAACAAGTTTACGTACACATCAGCACTGTAGAACATGAAGCAACCCGACCATGAAGGAATGACAGGTACTCTAAGACGTAATGACACGTTCAGAGAGGATGAAGCCTTTGTCTCTCGAATATTTTTTTTTATTCGGCACATTAAAATACAGTTTTATATATGCTTATTACTGCAAAGATAAATGAAGGAGCATACTTAGTTACAAGCATACAAAAGTTAAGTCTTTTTATTTCTATTCTGGAAGGAGCACGGGACTCCTCTTTGTGGCTTTATACATGATATTTAACATTGGCCTTTTTGTCCTTTAGGAAATCCTGTCAGAAGTATAGTTAAAGACACATGCAAGATTCTGCCTCCTGCCAAGAACAGTGCGCTCCCTAAGAGCAGCAACATAAAGCCTGTAATAAATCATATTGTTGAGAGAGAGAAGGCAACTTCTACAGATTCTCTCCAGTTTGTTACTGCAAGTAAAGCTCAAGTTAACTCTTTCCAAAGTCAACTATGGAAATTGGAGCGAAAAAGTTTCAGAATTCTTTAATTCTAACCAACTCATTTGATATGCACAACACAGAAAGATACGTGACAATAGGAATTTTTATTAATACTTAGAATTCTAAATTAAGCGGTGCAAACGATTCCCAACACTTTAATGTTTTGTATAACTGATATGATTTAAATAAAGGGTTAATTCGTTATACAGTAAGCTGGTTTACATTACGGTGATGCACCGCCTCATTTAAGTCCTTTTTTTTTTTATTTAAAGCAAAGAATCAACCTAAAAATGAAGAATTACTATCCTCTTGCACGTGCACAACCTGTGGGAAGGTAAAGATGGTGGGATGAGCATGAGGTTTCATGCAGAACCCTTAAATGCACTGAAGTGATGGTGCAGAATGAGGCGGGAGAAAGAAATAACAGCAACTTTGATTGTAGTTTGCCCGCATACTAGCCAAAATAAAAATTAAAATAAGGTATTTGAATAAAAAAAATCAAAACTGATCCCAGTTTGGGGGGCAAGATCCTACAAGTGTGACCAGCCTCCTCACGCAATACCGTCCTGGTGGGACCCGCCCTCAGCAGCGGGGACCTCCGCCAGCCACCCCAACCCTCTCCGACGGGGAAGCCCCCCGCAGCTGCCAGGCGCCCCTCCCCGGTCAGAGGCGCGGAGGGGCTGGGGAGCGGAAGGGAAACCCAAC